GCTGCCAGTTCTTTCAAGCAAGACAGAAGGAGGAATAATATTTTATGGTTTAAAAGACTTCTCTTTAAGCACTCGAAAACGTCTGAAAGATCGACAGCAAGAACCTCATACAAGCACTTAGAAATAACCTGATCGCTGCACAGAATAAAGGGTTCAGAAACTCTTCTATGTATAGATATTGTATATCTATGTATAGACACCTCACAAAAATATAACCCATGATGATGACACAGACATGGCAGTCAAATTAGCGTTAAAGGATGAAGTTGAATTAGACTTAGTTATTCCCATCCATTCCCAAGACATAAATGGGAACAGTGTACCATCTGGAGTGTTGTTCCAATTTCGAGTGTTGTTCCAAACACTCAGATCACCAAAGGTCTGAAAGCACCAGTATAAAAAGCTATGATGAGTTCAGATCTGAAACCTATGTTTATGGGCAGCACAAAACGTCCACCAGACTGTGCGACACAGTGGTTGCCAGGATCAGGTTGAGTTACCGTTACCTGTGGCAGGTGGGTACAGGTGACGGATCTCCCAATCCTGAGCACTCCAGGTGCAACTCTATGAGCAGGAACTGGGGCAGATATCCCCACAACTATATCACGAATGCCAGTTATTAGACCCTTCAATCTGCCGGAATGAAGTGCCTGGATCTTTGCAATATATAATATATATATATATATATATATTATCTATATATTATATATATATAATATATATATATTATATATAATGATATATATATATAATAATGTCGTACCTAATAGCCAGAACGCACTTTCTCAGCCTACTATGCAAGGCCCAATTTGCCTAATAAGCCAAGTTTTCATGAATTAATGCTTTTTTTTTCGGACGACCTAACCTACCTAACCTAACCTAACCTAACTTTTCCGGCTACCTAACCAAACCTAAACCTATAAAGATAGGTTAGGTTAGGTTAGGTAGGGTTGGTTAGGTTCGGTCATATATCTACGTTAATTTTAACTCCAATAAAAAAAATTGACCTCATACATAACGAAATGGGTAGCTTTATCATTTCATAAGAAAAACATTAGAAAAAATATATTAATTCAGGGAAAACTTGGCTTATAAGGCAAATCGGGCCTTGAATAGTAGGCCAAAAAGTGAGTTCTGGCTACTAGGGTACGACATAATATATATATATATATATATTATATATATATAATATATATATTATTATATAATTATATATATATATCGTGCGGCCATATTAATTTCACGTACCATTTCACGAAACAAACCATGTGTAGACTGACAAATTTCTGAACGTGAAAAATAAAACTGTTCTATATTTGTATATCTGCAGTGGTGAAAATATTTTTTATGCCCACCAAAACAGATACACACCCAAAGAAATACACAACACACACACACACGCACGCACGCACACACACACACACACACACACACACACACACACACACACACACACACAAAGAAGAGAGACATATAACAGGCACTGAACTACAGGCCAGGGATGGCAAATCTTGCCTCACAGGACTACTAGACCCCATAGAGCACTAATGCATGAGTTGGAGATGCAGGCAGGAATAAAAGGAAAGGTACTCTAATGAATAAGGGAGTACCTAAGCAACAGAAGACAGTGAGTCACTGTAAGAGGTGAGGTCTCAGAGGGGCTAGATGTCACTAGTGGAGTCCCACAGGGTTCAGTTCTTGGACCTATCCTGTTTCTGATATAAGTAAACGATCTGCCAGAGTGAATAGAATCGTTCTTCTTAATGTTTGCTAATGGAGCCAAAATTATGAGGATTAAGACAGAATTAGATAGTAAGAAGCTACAAGTTGACCTGGACAAAATGAAAGAATGATCCTGTTTTCTGAAGTACACATCAAAAGGATATCATGGGCGGCGTATGCGAGGCTGGCTAACATCAGAGCTGCCTTTAGAAATTTATGTAAGAAATCATCTAGAACCTTGTGTACCACATATGTAAGACCAATTCCGGAGTATGCGGCTGCAGCATACCTTGTCAAGCAAAAGACAAAGCGTAGAGTGTCCAAGGGTATGCCACTAGACTAGTCCCAGAACTGAAAGGTACGAGTTACGAGGAAAGACTGCGTGAATTGCACCTTATATCGCTGGAAGACTGAAGACTTCGGAGAGACATGATTACCACGTACAAAATTCTCACGGGAATGAGGAGCATAGATAAAGACATTATCTCACAAGGGGGACACATATGAATACCCAAATACCGAAACGAAATACCCAAATGAGCCACAGAAACATTAGAAAAAACATTTTCAATGACAAAGCAGTGAATAAATGGAATGCACTAGGCAGTGATGTGGTGAAGGCAGAGTCCATACACAGTTTCAAATGTAGATATGATGGAGCCCAGTAGGCTCAAAAAACCTGTATCCCAGTTAGGAGGCGGGGCCAGAGAGCCCAAGCTCAACCCCGCAAGCACAACTAGGCGAACACATATGGGGACACACATGTGGTAATGTCACAGTTGGACGCGGGTGTGTGATCACTGTGGCTGGGATCACTGGAGTCAATAGACAATAATAAAGCTTTTGTAATACAGGTCTGTTGTCTGAAGACCTTCATCTCTCGCATCACCACTACTACCTTAACCACCATTACCATCATAACCACCACTAATTTAACCTACCTCACTATCACAACCCACCACTACTTTAACCTACCTCACCATCACAACCACCACTACTTTAACCTACCTCACCATCACAACCACCACTACTTTAACCTACCTCACCATCACAACCACCACTACTTTGACCTTCCTCACCATCACAACCCACCACTACTTTAACCTACCTCACCATCACCACAACCCAATCAAGACACACCACCACCACCACCACCACCACCACCACCACCACTACACCCACTTACAGCACCACTAACCCCCACGTACATCCCCCCCCCAACCACCTCCACCTCGAGTGACGACCAGGACCAACAGACGTCTACCCCCCCCCTGTACGAAGTAGGGGGATAATGAACCTCTTTTGTCACCCAGGTTACAAAACGGTGTCAGGAGGTCACTACGATTTGCCCTTCTCCCTCTGTTCCATTCCCCCTTTCCTATACTGTTCCTCTCTCCCCCTCTCCCATTTCCTCAAGATCCACTCCCATTCCTTCTATCCCCCTTCCCCCTCGCCTCACTTCCCTTTCCCTATTCTCGGCCCCTATTTATATCTGTATTTCATTCCCCTTCGGCTCCCCTCTGCCTTTGCCCTTCGGATGAGCCCTAATATTAGGCGAAATCCTTCCGTCTCTCTCTCTGACCTCCCTCCCGGCCTACGTGACCTCTGACCTTGCTGACCGCCACGCCCCTTTGTAATGGTCCTGTAATACACAGGAAGCATTGACGGATTCACTCCGGGACCGTGTCTGTGCTCGCCTAGATTCACTTACCTACATGTGTTGAGTCGGGTAGGGGTCAGGCCAATATCAACACAACCTTTCTGTCGTGTTTATAGCGTTCATGAGCAGGGATGCGGATTCCCCACGCCATTCTCATCACATTATACATGTTATCATGTTCCGTCTTGTTTATGTGTAGCGGGGGTAAGGTCTATAGTTCTTTCAGTCTTTCCTCATAGCTCGGATATGTTACTGCTCTCAGGTTGCTCACAGGCAGTCCAAGATGGTAATCAATTCCCTCTTTATGAACAAAAGTCTTGGCTAACTCTTAAGCTCTATCATGCATTCGGAGACCAATATGGGAAGGAATCCACAGTCAGGAGACAAACTCTTGATTCCATCACTGATTATTTCATTATATCTGTGTGTCTAGCTTCAGACACAAGGACGTCAGAGTTGTGCCTTGGGGAGCCAAGGTAAGTCACTCATAGATGACAAGGAGTGACTTGTTGACCAGACCACACACTAGAAGGTGAAGGGACGACGACGTTTCGGTCCGTCCTGGACCATTCTCAAGTCGATTGTGCACAATCTCAAGTCGATTGAAGCACAATCGACTTGAGAATGGTCCAGGACGGACCGAAACGTCGTCGTCCCTTCACCTTCTAGTGTGTGGTCTGGTCAACATACTTTAGCCATGTTATTGTGACTCATCGCCTGCACAAGGAGTCATTTACAATATGCGTGTCAACTTTGGATTCATATACGCGTTCGAGTGCAAGGATTATGGCAAGCAGGTCTGTTTGAAGAGTGGAGGTCCAGTTACTTATACGCTCTCCACACTCATAGGAGAAGGAGCCTACCCGACAATGAAGTGAATTAATATTAATACTGGACAAAAGTAGCATAGTATACTGAGTATATACTAGTGTATATATATACTGAGTATATACTAGTATGCTCGGGACAAAAGTATACTTGCTGGTTGGTCAGTAAGCTCTCGCGGTAGCCAAAATAATCCTCCAGAAGTGGATAAGCTTTGTGGTCAACACTAAAGCAAAACTGAAAATAAAAAAGAGGAAACTCATCCTACCAAAATAAAAAAAAGGGGAAAACTTCTACTGGAATAGTACAGAAAGACGAAAAAAAAATATTACAAGCGCAATAAAGAAACAGAAAACTTGCGGGAAAAAACCCGCATGGAAAAAACAAAACAAAATTCGTTGCCCCTCTGTAAATATAGATTTAATAAACTTTGATTTGCAAACTTTTGACTGACCAATGAACGGCCCGCATAACCTCCATGATTCTTGAACATTTGCTCATCACAGGTGACAACAAAAAATCCATCGATTCATGACTATCAATAATTCAGCGTCGTCAGTATTTTCAAGCAAAAACATTCAAACATCAGCTAAAATTCCCGATATGAATTTCTCGACATAGCTGAAATTTTAGGTGATGTATCCTAAGAGTTATAACAGCGTCTCGCCGCAGGAATCAATCACACTGATACTAAAAATTTTAGGGCAAAAATAACACCCCGTTACTATAAACATTAGATATTTACGAGGAGACAGATTGACGGCTTCAAGTATTGTCTGTCTGTCACGTGGACATGACAACAGATTCTCACATTTTCTGGAAGTTTAGAAGTCAATCGAGGTCTCCAACGACGGTGTTAAAAGAAGGTCGTTTTGGAATGGAATGTTTTGGTGAGTGCATCGGTTGTTTATTATTTACAAGTGTGAAGTGTATGTGTATCTGTTTACTATTTGTATTTATTATTTGTACCTGCTAGATGGAGCTGCTTAGCTGTTGGTCCCCGCCTTCCTAACTGGCGGTTCTCTAAATCAAATGTCCCGCGACCCAATAGTTCCACACACACACACCACACACACACACACACACACACACACACCCCACACCACACACACACACACACCAACACAAATAGGTGCCAATAGGGGAGTACGCACACACACACACACACACACACACACACACACACACACACACACACACACACACACACACACACACAAATAGGTGCAAATAGGTGAGTACACACACACACACACACACACACACACACACACACACACACACACACACACACACACACAGGGGCCTGATAGCTGAGAGCAGGGGCCTGATAGTTGAGTGGACAGCGCTCTGGACTCGTAATCCTAGGGTCCGGGTTCGATCCCAGGTGATGGCAGGAACAAAATGGGCAATGTTTCTTTCACCGTGATGACCCTGTTACCTAGCAGTAAATAGGTACCTGGGAGTTAGACAGCTGTTACGGGCTGCTTCCTGTGTGTGTGTGTGTATGTGTGTGTGTGTGTGTGTGTGTGGTAGGGGTGGTGGGGGGGAATTAGTAGTTAGTAACAGTTGATTGACAGTTGAGAGGCGGGCCGAAAGAGCAGAGCTCAACCCCCCCGCAAGCACAACTAAGTGAATACACACACACACACACACACACTCGGAATGCAGCCAGCAAAGCTGTCTAACTCCCAGGTGCTTATTTACTGCTGGGGGAGCAGAGGCATCAGGTGAATGACACTTGTACTGTGCGCCGGGCGCCGTACAGACACTGACCATCCCTGCTACTGAATAAACCAACAGCGATGAGACATAACCCAAATGCTAAAGGAATGACCGTCCTCATATCACTTTTAAGAACAAAACAACAAAAATGACACCATAAAATTTTAGAGTTTTCTCCTTCCGTCAACTGTCAGAGATATAGATAAATAAATATATATATATATATATACATATGCAACTATCCAGGTTGCATAAGTATACACATATGCAACGTGAATGCTCTTAAGGTGTGAAACCACACATTAGAAAAGGTGAAAATGTTGCGTGTTGTCCCACGCAAATTGCGGGAGTTGAGTGTATTGTGGTGGAGTTGGGGGCCATTGGGAGAGAGAGAGAGTCATGTGCTTCACAACTATATGGCCGCGGCAAGAATGTCGTCGGGCATTTGTTTTCGCGTCTTATTGACAATGACGGTATGATGACAGCCTAGGTGTAGTCATCATAAAAATTCATGTGCTGTGTGTTGGTAAGGACCTGAGGCTTGAGCACACAGGGTTGCCCGAGGATATATTGCAATGATACCAAAATTTAATTCCATTTCTTTAATAATTGTAATTTTTAATTATTTTTTTCCTTTTTCCCCCTTCTAAATAACTGTAGATATGACAGTGTCAGACCACGGAGGAAAATTGAAACAGGAATTTCCTTAAGTACTTTCGTATATTAATACATCTTCAAAAGGAGGCACTCCTTCTGAAGTATTAATATATGAAAGTACATAAGGAACTTCCTGTTTCAATTTTCCTCCGTGGTCTGACACTGTCACATTCTTAATCACGTGTTTATTTTTCGTGATTTACGCACAACTGTAAATATATATAAAACAGGAATAAAATATACATGGAATGAAAACAATATTCCTGGTAATGGGCGACTTCAACCGCAGGAAAATTGACTTGGAAACGAAAAATCCCCGCAAGTGAGATAGGGAAGAGACCTTCCTACCATAAATGAACATGACACAGGGGGATAAAGGTGCAGGTTTGTCTATAGTTCAAGTTCAAGTAGGTTTATTGAGACAAGAAAGAAATACATCTTAAAGGGATAGAGTAGCTTAGGCTATTTCTACCCCCCCCTTCCTTTGTCAATATAGTTTCTGCAACTATTATTTTCCCTAAAGGCGTAAAGTTACACATCTTCGTGGTTTACAAACACTCTTGGTTTACAAACCCTCTTGGTTTACAAGCCCTCTTGGTTTACAAACCCTCTTGGTTTACAAACCCTCTTGGTTTACAAACCCTCTTGGTTTACAAACCCTCTTGGTTTACAAACCCTCTTGGTTTACAAACCCTCTTGGTTTACAACCCTCTTGATTTACAAACCCTCTTGGTTTACAACCCTCTTGATTTACAAACCCTCTTGGTTTACAAGCCATTTCTCTCCACCTCCCCCCTCACTCCCCACCTCCCCCTTCACACTCCCCACCAAGCGCCAACAACAACAGCCCCCGACAACACCACCCAGGAAGCGTCACCCACACAAGAACACTCGTGTATCGGAAGGGGGAAGAATCGTTACGATAATCGCGGATGAGAAACGATCATCACGGCGCCTATAAACAGGAGAAATATGCGATCCCATCCCTTAGATATTTGTCTTGGCCCGATGATTTGCGTCACTTTGGATCTTGGGCGCCCAAATGGAGTAGATCTTATTACCCAGGAAAGGATAATATCGGGTCCGCAATTGTGTTCGCGAGGATCCGCGGCGCTCGAAGGCCGGGAGATACGTTGGACTCTGATCTTCCGGCCAATGGGATTGCTTGCAGGGTTTCCCGCGCGCGCGAAGGGGGTGCGATTGGCTCGCTAGGGTGTTCAGGAGCAGGGCGGGAGGCGACGTGGAGGCCGGTGATTGGCCCGAGGGTGGTGACGACAGAGGCCGCGTGGTGAGGGGAGGGAAGCTGCCGGTTCATTGCCCGCGAGCTGTTCATTTTCCGGCCGCTGATGGCTCCGGCGTCGCCACAAAAGAGCTAATGGCGGCACAAGAACAATCCATTATGAGAAGGGGAGAATGGAAGGCATTGTTGGAAGCCTCTAACTGCTGCTATTTGATGACATTTACAGTCGTCAAAACGAGCAAGGGGAAGGGCCTTGTGACCTCTCGCCCGCCTCTAAGACACTCTTTCTTTACATAAATGCTATAACACCGCTACAGTGGCACTGCAGTACACGGGACACTGGTCCATTTATCCTGCGCCACTGAGGGCAACCGCCAATCACTTAACCAAGCCATGAAATGCTTTAATCCGATTTATTGAATAAGTGAAGGAGAGAGAGGGAGAGGGAGAGAGAGAGAGAGAGAGGGAGAGAGGGAGAAGAGTAGTAGTAGTGCCGGATAAGCGTCCACTATGGAGCGAATCCACTGTACGCATACATTAGCTGGCGACAAGGAAACCGAGGAATTGAAGGCGCGTTTATATTCGCCTTTTGAGGAGGGTCCATTGGTCGTAAATTAGGGTTTAGCCCAAAGGGAACGTCGACCCTAAGTGGGCGGTCTCTTGAGACGTCTGCCAGACTCTGCATCTTGTCTTTTCAAGGGTAAGAGCTAAGAGGCGAGGCATTGTTTAATTCTGATATCTCCCGCGCGTGTGAGTGTGTGTGTGTGTGTGTGTGTGGTTGTGAGGAAGGGGATATGATGTATGCTGATGCTGCAAAATGACTTGATTATGTTTATTTCCTGCTGAGGTCTTGGTGCAGTGTGTGTGTGTGTGTGTGTGTGTGTGTGTGTGTGTGTGGTGTGTGTGTGTGTGGTGTGTGTGTGTGTGTGTGTGTGTGCGTATTCATCTATTTGTACACACCTATTTGTGCTTGCGGGGGGTTGAGCTTTGGCTCTTTGGTCCCGCCTCTCAACTGTCAATCAACTTGTGTACAGATTCCTGAGCCTACTGGGCTCTAATGTGTGTGTGTGTGTGTGTGTGTGTGTGTGTGTGTGTGTGTGTGTGTGTGTGTGTGTGTGTGTGTGTGTGTGGTGTTTGTGTATGAAGTGCAAATATTTATAATTTGACATTTACTATTTCCGAAACGTCTTCAGTATTTTCCACTGTGGTCTGAACATCTTCCGAAGGTTCCTTTGGTATCCGGACAAGAAGCTAACCGGAGGCCAGAGGAAACCTCGCGAAGATGGAAACACAACATTTGCATCGTTTCTATCGTCTACCTTACCCTATTTATCTCTGTATTGAAGGTTTATAACCCTCTTTGTCTACCTAATTATTATATTTTTTCCATATAACCCGCCACAATTCCGTTCCGTCTACTTTAAAATTGTCTTATTGGTATATCCTTCCCTTCCTGTCTCTTCTTTGCTAACCCTTTTTTCTGTCTAATCTTGGCGATCTACTCGCTTCATGTTGTCTAATGTTTATTATGGTCTATTAGTTTCCCCTTCTCTGTCTATCTACACCTTCCTGAACCCCCCAATCTAGTTAATGCCATCTTGTCTACTTTTTAAATCGAGTATCCCTGTGTAGGCAGAATGCTGTGTACTCTGTAGCTCGAGTTTGGAGAAGTGTTGTGTCAGCAGAGTTTTGGGGGGAGTCAAGTATCAGCAGAGTTGGAGGGGGACTCAATTATCAGCAGAGTTGGAAGGGGAATCAATTATCAGCAGAGTTGGAAGGGGAATCAATTATCAGCAGAGTTGGAAGGGGAATCAATTATCAGCAGAGTTGGAAGGGGAATCAATTATCAGCAGAGTTGGAAGGGGAATCAATTATCAGCAGAGTTGGAGGCCAAATCAAGTGCCAGCAGAGTTGGAGGGGGGTGAGAGGGGTCAAGAGCCAGCAGTATTAAGAAGGTGAAAATGTTTTTCTTTAAAAATATCTAAACAAGCTTGACGTTGTTCAGGGATCTTACTGATACGAGTACAAGTTGATTACAAGCTTTAAATCAGGTTTTAAAAAGTTGTAGAATTAAATCAATTAGATCATCAGTCCCTTCCCCTCCCTCCCCCCCCCAAACAAAAAAAAGTTCGTCTTCTGTATTTTGTTTGTTACAGGATTTTTTGCTCATTTTGTATACTGTATTTTATCTATAAAAATGTACTGTCATGGACTGTCCTGTACTTTTTGTGTACGTCCATGTATATCCACTTTCTATATGTACTCCTA